ATCTTAACTCCGGTGCAATCATAGGAAGTATAGACTTTATTAGCAGGAAAAATATTATTATTAACATAGTTGGGCTATAGATTGATTTATTGTAGTACTTTATTTTTGTGCATTAGCTAGGCTGACAAGAAAAAAAACGGGCAACTGCAAGGCAAGACATTTTTACTTTTAAAATATTTTACTATTAGCCTAATTTCTGTCTGTTCCTTATTATTCGATGAATTTTAATTAGTCTGTGATCTATGAATATTAAATAAAGTATACAGACGTGAACGAAAATTTCACAAAAAACACTTGCTACGTGCCACGTGGTTTCAGTTTGGTGATGGAAGCATTGTTTGAGGTTTTCTCTGCCCCTTCTTCTCCCTCCTCTCCTCTTCCTCCGCCTTCTTCTAAACCTTCACCTGTTCCTCAATCCTCTCGCTCTAGTGAAGAAGGTAAGACAAGGCCTTCACTTAGTTCCTGGACTTTTTTTGGCTCGCCTCGTGCTCTGCTACGACTTAACACACTTATTGGTCTCTTTGTCTTTCTATTTTAGATTTTCCCGTTCTATTTTAGATTTTCCCGTGCTCTTTTGTTCTTCATTCGCTGGGAGGACTATCAAGCTATTGCACAATGGATTTGTGAAGCAGGGTCTGTTACAATGGTATGATAATGAGTAATTAATGTGAGGTGTGCTTTTAATGTCATATTTGCCTAGTGATAATAATAATAATGGATTTGGGATTTTTAACAGTTCATTGACAAGGGGTTATCTACTGTTTTCCTTGTCAAATGAATAGGATTTTTTGTGTAACATTGATAATGTTGGTATATGTACAACTATGAGAATATCCTATTTTTAACTTAATTAATTTGACTTGATTAATTCTACAATGTACATGTAATGTTTATTTCTTTATCCAGTCTTCTGACAGCAGACATAGGGCTGGCTAAAGAAAGAATCAGAAGCCTTTCAAAAATTACCCCATTTCTGCTTGTTTATAGTTTATACTATCAGTCTGGTTCAGTATAAACTTGTGGTCTAGGTAGACAATCCCCTTAATGGACATTAACAAATCTTTATTCTAGAAGGGATGGAGGATGTGTTGACTGTCTATAGTGCAGTGTTTATGGGCTAAAGCCTCCCTCACCCTTTAAACAAGAAGGTGCACTATAAAACCATTCACGCAACGTCATGAAATCGCTTCCGTCGATCACAGTATAAAAGGAGGTGCCCTGGGCACAATATGGCGGCCAGATTGAATGAAATTTGAAAATAACAAAATGGCTCCCGCACTGGCACTGTTCTTATCATGGCTAAATCACTAGCAAAACGCATTATAAAAACATTAAAATTAGCAAAGGTGAGAGAGTTAACCTACAAGCACACCTAGAAAGCATAGCAAGGAGAGAAATGGTATAATTGACTTGAAGTAATAATTTTACATTATTATCAAATATTATATTGTATATTCTGAAAAATCTGCCAACAGCCTAAGAAACACGGGCAATGATGCTGTCAGGCAGGTAATAAGTGATAGTGGCAAGGGAATAGCCCTCACTACTACACAGAAAACCAGCCCAAGAACCGCTACCACTGGGACCAGACAGCCCTGCTGACTACCATATATCAGCCACCATCAAGTATAAGTGGTTCCAGCAAAAGACCCCAACATGGTCCTCATTCAGATCCTAGTACTGGTAGCAGTTGTAACATTCAACGATCTACTGGAAGAAGTAAATACAAAAATATTATTCTAAATTTTTAAAAATATAAACATTATGTATATAGGGTTGAATAGATATTGGGATGGTGAGGAGCCTCCTGTATCTGTGTACCTCTTCCCAACTGTGCCCAGTGATGCCGACAAAAATATGGCAGTACTGTGATGGTAATATACCAGTACAAGAAAAATGCTAGTACGAGCCTAAAAATATTAATGCCATCATATCATTACTTTACATTACAAATAATACTTACTTCTGTATCTAGTAACTAATAAACTTGAGTTACGATTACAGGACTCACAACTGGGATTGAATCGAAATTCAGCACAAATCACATGACGATCTAAAATTATGAATAGTTTTGATGATGTTGATAATAATAGTAAAAATAATAATAATACTAACAAAGAATACCTGTCTGTAACTGATCATCTTTCGGTCAACCATACCACACTAACGCAAATGTATGTTTCCCAACAGCCGATCCTATATCTATGCACAAAATGGCTGCTCTTCGTCCCCATCACCCATACCTTATTTATATATAACCACTAATTTAAACACATTATAACTACCTGAAGTATTGAGCATAGCAGAAGAACTACTAGTATCATGTGATAGAGCCTCAGAATGATTCTCTTTTTAAACTAAATCGGCGAGTAAATGAGACAGCAGTTCCAGTGCCTTCTTTTAGTGCCTAAAGACCCCTTAACTCGATCAAGCCTAACTAGAACTGGTCCTTGTCTTCTTTGAGAGTAAAATGGAAGTCCATTTGGTACCAAAACCTCTTTCTTCCTGCGTTTTTCCTTGAAGAAGCAACACCATCTAGAGCCGACATTTTTACACGTGAATAAAACGGAAGCCACCATGCCCAGGGCCCCGCCTTTTATACCGCACCTTTTCGTTTAAAACAGGAATGTCTTAGCCCAGCTAAATTCCTCTAACTAGACTTACTAAATGTAGCTGTGAAGTACATGTAGCATGTTTTACTCTTACTGTCCATGATCTATAGCCCGTGCTAACTTGCAAAAATTTGCCTTCACTTTGCACGTTCTTATTGATGTTGTTATGCAAATGCAATGTTAATTTTTTGAGTTGTTTCTGACTGATGGGTTTAGCCATACATGTACATGCACCTTGGGCTAGAGTCTATTACAGTATTATTGTGTACCTGTATGATCCAATATTTATAACAATTCACAAAGCATTAATATTGGTGATAGGAAGTGCTGTGAAGAAATCACTATGATGAATTTCCCTTAACCAAAATTGCTGCATACATTTGTATGTACATGCATGTATATTTTTGTCTTATTTGGCATTCTTTTATTTTACCTAAATTATTATTATTTTATATTAATTTTATTTCTAGTATTTTAGATTGCACTGATTGTTTTCCCCATTGCTTCACTGGTGGATCCATTCCTTTGTTTGGTCACATGACAGTCACATGCTCTTCCTTACATAACAACAATAACAACAGTTTATTCTTAATATTCAGACATCATTTATACAATATAATTAGCTCTACCGGCAACAGTAAGTATTTAACATGTAAATTAGATTGCTTATTATTATTATTATTATTATTATTATTATTGTTATTATTATTATTATTATTATTATTATTATTATTAGGTGTATCTTTAAAGTATTGTTGTGAGTTTCTTCATTTCATTGTTACCTATGTCTCTCGCTTGTCTTTAATGACACACACTGCAACACTTGACGGCATCATCACTAATCTGACCAATACAATCCAGTCGTTAGAGTCATGTGACCAATTGAACGAAGACGGGATGCATGTATTATTACATGTTTATTGGACGATGGTATCACTACTATACACAGCAGTTACTGTCCTTGGTTAGTATCATTAGTTTGTGTGTGCTAGGATCAATGTTGTATCATGTGCTGTTTATGTTTTTCTATTAGACTACATATTGTACATGTACATGTACATGTATGCATGTGCTTTCTTGTTTAGTTAATTCCAATTAATGCCCTTTCTTCAGTTTGTACTATGTGTACATGCATGTATTGTGTATGTGAAGTGTCATGGTATTACAGTTTAAGATGTCCCCTCATGTTTGAGTTATTTAAATCTTACTAGAACAGGAGGAGCACCTTATGAATAGGATCTTTTGTCCTGCACGTAATAGTTGTGATATTGTTAGCATGCATCTACATGTACTTTGTAGCTACATTGTATGTTGTAGTTGTGCCTAATATACATTGTATTTGTTGGGTATTTTTTATTCCCTTCTTTTATGTAGGTGATAAATATGTCTCCATGTTTAATGAAGAATGTAACAGAATTATCAAGTACTTACATGTACTAAAGCAAAGAGAAGATACTTTTGATACTGTTAGTCCTTTATCAAATGATTAAAGCACCATTACATTTCTTGTTGCTCATGTCTAATTATAGTTTGTGTACATGTACATACATTGTAAGTATATAATTACATGTACATGTACATAGCAGAAATTAGCAAAGCTTTCGGGCCACAAAGATTCCACAAATGAATAGGTATATAATACTTTAATTGTTAATAAAATAATTAATGTTCTTTATGATTATATTCAGTATACTATAGTCACTCCAGTTT